TAGCAAGGAGTTGACTTTTTTGCACTGGACCCATTGTCAGGAGGAATCAGCTGCTGGAGGAAGACATCATTATTTGGGGAAATAGCTAGAGTGGGTATAGGAGACCCTCACGAAGATGGATTGCCACAGTAGCCACAAATATGTACTCAGACTTTCTCACAGTTGTGGGATTGACATGCGATTGTGTAACATTACCTTCTGTAGTATGAATTGGGTGCCATGAAATGAACTGTAAGTCAATTGGATGTCGATGCGATGAACTGGAGTCAGTTTAGTGGCACCTAACCGTCATCCCTGTGAAAGAATCTGTGGTCAAATGAGTTGTAGAGAAAGACCATATTGTCATCTTTGAGATCCACCAGGCTGCTCCTTGGAGGCAAGGATTCTGAAGCTTTGAGTGCCATACTTTGGATATGTTGCAAGGAGGGACCAGTCCTTGGGAAGGTGAAGGGAACGTGTAGGAGAGGAAGACCCTCGCTGAGCTGGATTGATTCAGTGACTGGGGTAATGGGGATAGGTGTGTCGGAGACAGAAAGATTGGTATGGGATTAGAGCAGGGTTTAGGGCTGTTGTTCATGAGTTGCAGATGACTTGAGAGCACATAACAACAACCACAACAACAATGCATGTTAGCATTTTAAAGGCTCTAAGAAATGTAGCTGGGCATGCATCTCCTTTACTGATGGCCAGTCCAGCATTTCACAGACATAGCTAACGGCTTCCTTATAACCTCTGTGAACACAGTGCACTCTTCCGCAAAAGTGTCCATGGCTGGGAAAAATCTTACTTCAGGTGGGAATTGAGTCTGGTATTGTTTGGATATCAGATATTGGACATTGTCATAACAAAGGATTTCTTTGGGGAGCACTGGTAGTCTAGTAATAAGGATCTGTGCTGCCAATGCAGACAGGGGTTCAAATCCACCAGCTGCTCCATAGGAGGAGGACAGACAGTCACCTCACATAGAACCTCTGTAAACCTGTTGGACGGTCAGCTATGAGTTGATTCTAACTCGATGGCATATAAAAACAGCAGCAACGGGGATTTCCTTAGGAAAAAAAATGGAAATACAGGATTTCAGTTGTACTGTTTTTCTGTATTAAAGTATTTTTTCATGTTACAACCAAGGCAAAAAGGTTTTGGTCATTTTTATTGTGATTTTTTTATGGATAATGTTGCCAACATCATTTCACTAAACTCCAGATACATGATAAAGTGTATTATATATACTTCCTGCTTGTTTTCCAGGACACTGTCATATATGACCGACTGGCTGAGACGTCAAAATACAAAGAAATTACCCTGAAACACTTAGAGCAGTTTGCAACAGAAGGTAAGTATGATTTGGCAAAACATTATTTTTAGAGAGACATAAATCATATCCTATTGCTAGGCTGCAGATCATTGTTAGCATTTTATGTCAAGATTCTTAAAGTTGAATGTCAGTCACTGGTGATAATATAGATAATATAGATTATGCCATTGAGTCAACTAGACTAGACACATATATAGTTGTTCTACCATGAGGTGGATTGATTCAGTGACTGGGATAATCGGGATGGGAGAGTCAGAGACAGTGCAATTGGCACAGGACAGAGCAGAGTTTAGGGCTGTTGTACATAGGGTCGCTATGAGTCGCAAGTGACTCGACGGCACATAACAACAACAACAACGCTACTCATGATTATTGGCAACAGCATGCCAATTTCAGTGTTTCACGGACCTGTACTATACTGAGGCTTTGTTATGTTTTAATTAGATTTTGGCATGTTGTTTGAATTGAATCTGAGTTCGTGTTGGTTGGTTTCCTTTGTGTTTTTTTTTCTCTTTCCCTCATTGCGGGACTTTGTTAAATAAAACATGAAAACCTCAGACTTGTGACTAACCCTTCCTTGCTGCCTTTGCCAGGCCTGAGAACCTTGTGCTTTGCCGTGGCTGAGATTTCAGAGAGCGACTTCCAGGAGTGGCGAGCTGTCTACCACCGGGCATCCACATCCGTGCAGAACAGACTGCTCAAACTCGAGGAGAGTTACGAGTTGATTGAGAAGGTAGGCGGAAGACTCTTTCCAGGAAATGGCCATCTTTTTTCAAAGGACCAGTGTGGGAGGAGGAATTTCTCAACTCTCCACTTAATGTGGACTTTCCTCCTGCTGTCAAGCACGTCTTAATGCACGTTAAAGTTTGGAGTAAGATATTACTTTGAATAAAATTTTTAAAAGCTACAATATGACCAGAACCCCAAACTCATTGCCTTGCAGTCAAAATTGACTCTGAGCATCAAGTGAGTTAAAGCACAACTTTCTGTGGACCAAACACCCAGAGCTCCCTTTACTTTGCATAGATCTTTGCTGTTCTCACATCTTTAGATCAGAGTTAGGCTCACCTGGCATGTCCTATCCATCATATTTCATTGCTTCTGTATGACACTGAAAGGAAACTTGTCTGTGTACACACACTGTTACATGCTGTGTACACAGAAAATTCACCAACATGTATGATATGTAATAAATGATCCTATTATTAAAATGTACAACTGTATGACTAGATAACTGATCATATATATGTGCATAATTGAGTATGTACATTTGGCCAGTCATTTTGATAAACTTAGGTACGTACATCATTTCTGAGCAGTACTGTAAACATCCTCATTTTACAGAGAAGCTGAGATTATATCTTCAGAATATGCTCTATACCCTGATTAATGCTGGGTAAAAAGCAAGCCGTCTTGCTATCTTAAGTCAGACAAGCAAGCATTTTTTTAATACTTTTTCTTGATTTTCATATAATAATACCTTTACAGTATACATTGTTTTATATAGTCTGGTTTACATTGTGTTTCATACAATCATATATATTCTATTTTGCATTTTTTATACTACTTTATTTACAAAATTTGAATACATTGTTTTTTACACCAGATCCTTCCCATTTCCCTCATCCCACCCCATCAAATTGTACGACCCCATGATTAATTCCCCCTGTACATCTTCACCCCTCTGCTTCCACCCTCCCCTCCCTTGGATCCTCACACTCATTCTGCAATAATGATTTTATACAGTATTTGTCTTTCTGGGATTGAGTTAGTTCACTCAGCATAATGCTTTACAGTCCCTCTCAAGTTAGTTAAATTTACAAAATGATTGCTCCTGTGTGCTGCGTAGTATTCCATTGTAGGAATGTACCATAATAACTCAATCCATTCAATTGTGATTGGTTCTCTGGGCTGTTTCCATGTCTTGCTATGGTGAATAACACTGACAAGCAAGCTCTTTTTGTGCTAGGTGCTGTTTGAAGCAGTATTATCTATTAATCTGTTTAATATTCACAACATCTTTTTGAGAGAAGACTGTATATTATCCCTGTTTTACAAGGAAAGAAATCAAATCAACAGGTTTAGTCAGTTGTCCACTAATAAAGTAATGCCTATCACCACGCCAGTATCTTCATTCTAACCTTTAACTTTGAATTCAGTAACTCTATTTCCTAACTCCTTTAGCTGTATCCGTGGAATCTTATCTGTCAGCCTGTAGTTAACCTGATCTTACCTCCATGTAAGTAAAGGCTCTCCTATCTTTCTTTCCTTCTTTTTGCCACGCCAGTTCTCTTTCCTGAATGATATTTGGTACCACTTAAACCTTCCTGAACTTTCTCCCCATTTTGCTCCCTGCATGCTACTGGGCTTTGTTGTTTTGTTTTAAATCAGATGTCATCTAATTGACTCTGACTCATAGTGACCCTATGACCAACAAATCTGAACCTTGTCCAATCCTACACCATTGTCACAATCTCTTGTTCAGGTCCATGTTGACAGTCACTGTGTCAGTCCATCTTGTTAAAGGTCTTCCTCTTTCTCTGACCTTCTACTTTTCCAAGCATGTAGTCTTATTTTGAGGACTGGCCCCCCTGACAACACGCTCAAAGTATGTGAAGTGAAATTTCACCATGTAAGTAGCACTCAGGGTGCACTTCCTCTCAGATTTTTTTTTAAGTCCGTAGTATATCCAGTACCCTTCTTTAGTACCACAGTTCTAAGGCATTGATTCCTCTTTACTCTCTGTCTTACTATTAAAATGCATATAAAGCAATTGAAAATACCACGCTTGGATCAGGCATACCTTGGTCTTTGAACTGATGTCTTTGTACTTTTTACTAACTGTGGACTCCTGGGAAATACCATGCTTCAGCTAGCTACAGATCATTTTCTCAATTTTATGCAGTTGCCATCTGTAATTAGATGTTGTTTTCTTATCTCTTTAGTTTATTCTGATTGCTTTTAGAGATATTTTTGCTTCTCCATATCCCACTTTTCTTTTCATGAAATTTGCTTCCTCCTTATTTACAAGAAGTAGTGCAGTAACATGTATGGTAGTTTTCACCTGCTGGCTTTCTCCTCAGTTTTAATGATGTTTACGCAACAGAGAGCCTGTGATCCAGCCTGTTATTAACTCTGGCTTTGTCTTGTTGCTATTTCCTAGCACCTTCTTATGCCATTGAGTTATTGTTATGTAGTAAAACAATGCACAACCATGACCATAGTCTCTTTCTATCTAAAGTCACATGTGGTAAAGTACTTTTGGTCAGTTCTACTCAACCTAAGCCTTAAAGTTGGAACCAGCTCATAGTTGACCTTCTGTCAGGTTTTTAGCTTCTGTAAATTGCAGAGCTGCAGATTGCCCATCTTTCTCCTGTGAAGCTACTGCTGGATTCAAACCACCTTTTGCATTAGCAGTGCACCTTCCTGCAGAAAGTACCACCGAAGCTGTCTGTCCTCATGGTATTGAATGTTTAAATTATGAAGTTTGCAAAACTAGTTTGTTTTTCAAGCGCATATTTTTCCTTAACATTATTTAAAATAACCCTAATGTAATTTTTTGTTCCCTATTTTCTCCCTGTAATTTTCAGTTCTATTAACCCTCCTATTGTACCCCTTTCTGCCTTCTGAACTTTATCCTTGAAGAAATACTGCTCATTTGTCCTTATATGATTGGTTGGTCTAAAGAGTGAATGTGTCCTTGCTGTCACTGGTTAACTGGTCATCTTATATGCCTCTCTGGATTTGTCTTTTGTTTTTGTTTTTTTGCTGCAAGTTATGCCAGAGAATGAGTTTTATTCCAGGTTCAAAGGGTGACCAAACAGCATAGTCTTTGGGATTCCACCAGTGTCTTTCAGAATTATATTGATATTTTAGCGTCTATTATATATTTTTTTAATTCTTTACCAGCATCTTGGGACTGATTCATAGCTGAACGTCTGGCAGGATTTCAGAGGCAGTAAATCACATGGGAGGGGTTGCCCTCTACTCCTACAGAATAACTGGTGGATTCCAACCACATGCCTTAGGCTGACTGCACAATTCTGCACTGATTCAGACCATGGTCTCTTCACTCACTTGTTAAGCATCTGAGAGCTGGACAGTGAGTAAGGATGACAGAAGAAGAATTTACTCCTTCGAGTTGTGACATTTGAGAAAAGAACTGAATATCATATGGACTGCCAAAGGAACCGATAAGTCTTGGTAAAAGGGCAGCCAGCATGTTCCTTGAAGGCAATGATGGTGTAGCCTTGTCCCTCAAACTTCAGGCATGGTGCTAGAAGAGGCTATTCCTTAGGAAGGGATATCATGCTTGGAAAGTGGAGGGTCAGCAAAGGAAAGGAAGAACCCGTAATGAGATCAATTGACACAGTGGCTAGAGCATTGGGTTTACATGTGTCACAGATGATGAAGATTGCACAGGATAGGACAAAGTGAGGTCTATTGCATATGGTGTCACTATTAGTCATACTCAACTTGAGTACCTAACAATTTTATTTTATTAAAACATTTGAGGAAATTAAAAGAAGGAGAAAAACTTATCTGAAAATAATTCTTATCACATTTATTTATACAATTTGGATATAATGTAGCCTTTCCTTCATAGCAAAAGGATAGAATTAAAAGATTGAGGCAATAAACATATTTTAAAATGGTTTCTGTATAAGTTATGTAAACTTAATACATACTGGAGAAAATGGTGGAATTTTTTAGTGTATGTTGTGTCAAACATTCTTATCGTGAATATTTGAATTTATACATTAGTATCTTTAGGTTTAGTAGGTTTTTTTTTAAAAGAGAATCTTCATTACAGTATATAGACTTTGCTCTTTTCACTGATTAGCAGTGTTGACACTTTTCCCCCAGCAGATGGCAGTGGTGAGTCACATTGAAATTTAAGTTGTCTGAGGAAACCCACTGAAAGTCTTCTTTGTATCTATAGGTTTCAAATACAGAAGTGTCCCTTTCCACTGCCTCTTACCTAGAATGAAAAGAAAGTCATATATAATTCATCTTTTCTTCATTATAAACCATGCTCTCTGTTTGCTGCTGAAAAAAATTTAAAGTAGAAAAAGTTAAAGAGCTTGGATGCCTTTTTTTCAGCTAGTTTATGCCACATAAAGTCTGGTTTCTTATATGTATCTTTATCTCTGAAGCTGAGTTACCACTCTTTCAGAAACTTTTCATTGATCAGTTAATAAAGGCTAGTTTTGGGAAGGTAAACAAGCAAATAAGAATGGCCGAGTGTCTTCTGGATGTCACAGTCTAAACAGATTACCTAAGTGGTACAGCCCATGATTTTGGCTGAAAGGAAGCACTCAGAGAGAATCGGAAGCTTTCAGAGACATGCTTTCAGGGAGAAAGCATTGTCAAAATGACCTTGGAGGTTCCTAACCCTGGGAAAATTTTCCTAAATAGCACTTCTCTGACATATGAAGACTGCAGGGGTTTTAAAAGGCTGTTGGACCATAATTAAATCACGTCTTCCTTGGTCTAAGCTTCTATTTGTTGAAATCAATTTGTGATGTTATCTGTTAGCTGATACTGAGTCTTCAAACTCACAGGACTCTGTGCACATCAAGATAGGACCATTGCAATTAATTTACTTAAATGAAATAGAACACAGTGAAAATCAATATCCTAGGCATTTAAAAAAAAATAGTATGTATTGATTTGCATCCTTTGTTTACATTGTGTTTTACATGGTCCTTCATTTACATTGTCCTGACCAAC